TTGCTGTTGCCTTTGTTTTTGTACGTCTGGCTGTCTGCCCATCTGCCGCCTATTTGCTTGCCCTGTTTGCTCCGTTACTCCCATGCCCTTGTGCGTGGTGCCTGGTGCTGGTACGTTACCCATTGATTTTTTCTTTGGGCGGGTGTGGGAAGCGTCCTCCTTTATTTTTNGCTGTCTGCCCATCTGCCGCCTATTTGCTTGCCCTGTTTGCTCCGTTACTCCCATGCCCTTGTGCGTGGTGCCTGGTGCTGGTACGTTACCCATTGATTTTTTCTTTGGGCGGGTGTGGGAAGCGTCCTCCTTTATTTTTGTTTTTGTTTTATTGTGATCGGTGTCCGAGGGCTCTTTTCTCGAACTGTCGCTGCGATACCTGTTCTTTTCTTTCTATCATTTTGTTTTCTTTTTCCGAGTGGTTTGTACCCTATTTTTGTTTTTTTTGTTTTCTCGCGGCGTCGTATGTGCCAGGTTTTGAGACCACGGGCTCCCCATTTTTTGTGGACTAGTCTATAGAGCTAATGTGAGAAACAACAACAAAGTAACGCCGCTGACGCCACTATGAGACTGTTATCTCCAGGTTCGCGCGTGAGCAAGTTCCCTTAGGGATGGGCGGTGTGGATACACACCGGATCAACCTCTGGTGAAGAGGCTGATGTACGGAACGTTGAGTCGAGTGTGTGTGTGGCAGGTGGGGATCAACCTTGTGTTGAAGCAAGGTTCAGCATACAACCTGCACTGACTCTGTGGTAACACCCCGAAGGTAGATCTCCGACAGGTCATCTGACGTCACNAGTAACGCCGCTGACGCCACTATGAGACTGTTATCTCCAGGTTCGCGCGTGAGCAAGTTCCCTTAGGGATGGGCGGTGTGGATACACACCGGATCAACCTCTGGTGAAGAGGCTGATGTACGGAACGTTGAGTCGAGTGTGTGTGTGGCAGGTGGGGATCAACCTTGTGTTGAAGCAAGGTTCAGCATACAACCTGCACTGACTCTGTGGTAACACCCCGAAGGTAGATCTCCGACAGGTCATCTGACGTCACAATCTACGACAGTCTGAGGTGGCATTCACATAAGCATTGTTATTGTCATATACCACTGGTCATGCCCTCTCCTCGCTGCAAGTGTGCGTGCGCGTGTGACGGCAGGTAGAAGGGTGGACTGTTTGTTCACGCCGCGTGGCTGAGTTTGCACATAGTTGTATGGGATTTACCTCAGCAGCATCAGCACATGGCGACCATCGGTGCTGAATCCCCCCCGCATCTCTCGGGGCGACCTATTACTGCTGTGTCACTGCTGTTGTAGCCGTGCTTCCTGCGCACGATAGCAGTGCATCCGAAGCACGCAGAACTTCGGGAACCTCGGTGGTTTCTGTGGCGTGCATGGCGGGCCGAATGGAGTAGCTGGCGAACGTGTCGATTTTAGTGCGACGACTCTCCTGTGGTGGTCAGGCATTAGCCACAGAGGTGAGAAGCGAGGTGCGATGATGATTCTTCCAACCGTCGATTTACTACGAGTATATTTTACCCCTTTGTCACTATTTTCTTGTACTGGCTCTCTGTGTACGTACAGCAGCACGTATATTCATCCCTCCTGGGAATGATATGCTGATGGTTGATGAATGATACCCGCGCCTGCACAGCTACTGTAGCTACCGCCCGGAACAAGAGGAACCTGGGACAAGGCTGTCGCAACTCAACGGACTGCTGTGCAGGGCTGTACAGCAGTAGGTCACGTTGCACACAGTTTTAGGGAGAAGGATCTGAGGATTTGTGAGTACCGAAAGGTTCGACAAGAAATGAAAACAACACCGCTGCTTTAAGTCCAGTCTTCCGCAAGGTTCCACCCCAAAAAGCGTATGCATACGTTAGCCAACGTGTAGCTGCCGTTCGGAAAAACAACGGGACGTTGGAAAAACTCCCTCAATCCACCCTTGTGCAGGGTTCGCAAATTTGAAATTGCATGTGCATAGCTAAACAACCGCGAGATGTCACCACACCGCCGCCCTTTTCCGTGAGACTGAAGCCGTGCAGGTGCTGTTGCGGTGGAGCGGGCGCGATACTTGACCCGCCCGCCCCACAAGCCCGCCATCTGTTGTAGTAGATGTTCGCGTTTCGCGCTTCCGCCTGCGTCGACGCTCCATACGTCGAAACGTGCTGCTGCTGTAGCCACGCCCTCGTCTGATCCCGAGAAAGGGAGGATGGCGGATGGAAAGGAACATGTTCGTGCGTTCCTTAGTGGTGGGCCAATGCGTCAGGTTGGCACTTTGGCGTGCAACATGGCACAACGGCGCACAAACGAAGAACTCGTTCAATTGATCCGCAACAAAATTAGCACTGACTACGACAACGATAGACTAAATTTCTTGATCTTGACAGGAAGACAAAGGCGCACCTGAGAAACACATGAAAATTCTTGCCAAGCACATGTTACAAATGCTGAGTTTTATCTTGGGCGGAAGTATAGACAGCCGATGTCGCGCCTCTTCAACACCAATGGGTGCGAGATACTGCTCTCACCTCCGCATGAGCAGTAACGACCGCTGTGGTGATGCCTCCCGCCCCCTCCCCCGCCCATACGGATTTGGCCATGTCCTTCGATTTTTGGATGATTTGAGGCCCAATTTCTTCATCGCTAAGTTCATAAGTGGTGACGCGTTCTGTATCCTACAAGGCTCCCCTCGGGATTTTGGTGGCTTGCCTCCCGGTGGCGACGCGAGGGGACATGGCCAATGTCATCACCGTTGCCTCATTGCATCTCAACGTTTGGCAGCGCCGGATTACTCCGTGTCTAATCTGTGCATACGACCCGCGGAGTATTTGTTTTTTCACGGCTGAACGGATAAAAGAGATATGATCCGGACTGATCGATGTCAGGAATCCCAGCCGGGCGTATCCCTATGTTTTCCGTCGCCTTGCTGCCCCCCTCCCACCTCGCAGGGCCCCCGCTGTGATGCTGTTGTCGCCGCGAGTCATCCATTTTTTTGGTGTCGCGTTGGTAGTAGTGGCGTATTTGTCTTTCCGGTTGAGCGTTGGGGGACCTGTCTGTTGTCCTTTGTGTTTCCCTTCCCTTTCGTTATGTTTCCTTCTACTTTCACCCCTTTTTTGACCAGGGTCGATCCTATCCCGGTTGGGTATTTAACAAATCGCGTCTTGGAGGACTGTTCTGGGGTCCATTTTTTGTTTTTGTATTTCTAGAAGGGTGTACAACCTTGTGGGGGGTTGTTGGCTTGTGCCCACGGAAGGCGTTCTCGTCAGTTGGACCAGTACGGACATTAGAAGGTACTGAACCGAGACCGGAACGGCTTTTAATGTGAAGACAACAACAATAACAACCGGGACGTTTCGCGTGCGCGAGTGTGTTTATTTGGGCTGGCGGCGTCTTTGCCGCAGATCCTACTGCTGCTGTAACCGGCTGCGTTTGATCACTCGTTCAAGTGTATCTGTACTGTGCTGCTCATGGTGTGTGGGGACTTGTGTGCGTTGATTCAAAGTCTCCCTGTTTATGCAAAAAAAGCTTGTACTTCTCACGTTGCCAATGGCGCATACCAGTAGGCAATAACTTCACATATATATTGTACAGCTGTGCACGTGTATTCTGATGTTGCAGTTATGTATCCGTGACAGTTGTGTCCCACCCAACAATTGGAAGCATCACTGCCTTCTTCATGAATGTGGACATTCTCTCAGACAGACTTGGTCCTCACCCCCCTAAATTGGGCGATCTCTTGATGGGTAAGCTTGTTGCTTCCATCGTCCCTGCTGGATAGCAAATCACCCACATCATCTCTGCATTCTTCGCGAGCATGAAAGGAGCTCGAAACACCCGTCAAAGCTCCACCTCGACCTACCCCAACTTCTCCGTTCCCACACCCATCCGTGATATTCTGACCACCCGCCAGCGAGGGGGGGGGGGCAATCGTTGATCCTAGTACGTTTTTATCTTGAGCGGGTGATCCTTCCATGATGTTATGCATACAGTGGGGGCCCCGGTTTAGTGACCCCTAGTGTCACGAAGAAATATGGTCGCTATTCAGGGTACACCGGGAGCCTCAAAAGCGACTATTATAGCGGTCGCTAAACTGGGAAAAATCGACAATTAGTGGGACTAAAGGCCATATTGCAGAAACCCTCTCGACCGCGTCATGTGTGCGTCGTATTGCAGCAGTCACATGAAGGTAGAGGAAAGAAGCAGCACCTTAGGGTGGACAACTGGGGGGTAGTTCCTATATGGAATGCATTCCAATGAACCAGCAAGTTTCTTGAACCATCCGAAGTTTGTGGGAAAAGTCCCAACAACAACTGTTACGGAGGGTGCATTGTGTCTTTCCGGCATGCTGAACAATCTGTCTCTACATGTACATAGAACAACAAAAAACACGTGTAAGTCCTATCTGCGAAGTATAACAAAATAAATGTGGGGGGGGGGTGTACTCATTGTTGTGCATGCCGTAGTCGTTAGACCATTGACCTCGCATACCTACAAAGCCGGGACGGCGCACGCCGGGTTCTCACCGGACCAGGCTCTCACATCACCAAGCGCGAAGCGCCGTGAGATATTCGGCGAGTCGCATGAAGGGTGCGCTGCATCCTGCTAAGGGTGTTCGGCATCTTGTGCTTACTTCCTTGCGTACGGATGACAGCTGCGTATGAATTAATTTATTTTCTGGTGCTTTCACTTCCAGAGACAGTTGTAAGCACTGTGTAACTGCCTCGAGGGTGCTTGACCATTTCAACACAACGTGGTGCGATCATCCCCCTTGCGCGGAGCGAGGGTTCTCCACCCCGCACAACATGATCTACTGGACCACCATTATAGTTACCGCCAAAAAAAAAAGCAGACGTAAAAACAAAAGCGGTAACTTGGTTGCCGAGTTCACGAAGTGAATTGGCTTGTTTTACAACGTCGTTGCCAAGCGATGAAAACCCAATCCCGATGGTAAACACCGAGGGGGGGGGACCAGAAAGGTGGCAAAGGGGAAATAATCTTGGTAACGTCCCCCAAAAACAAAAAGTAAACACCATAGCACGGAGAAAGTTCGTCGACGCCCAAGCGGTAAAGAACCTCGCGCTGCGTGTGACTTCGTTCTGCTACTACTCTCCCGTGTACCGATCATGTTAAACTATTTCTCATATATATGTCCGTCAGTCGCGCTGGTTTCGCCGAGTGTGCTTCGATGAACAACAGTTACACCTTTGACTTGAAAATCGTACGCTGCCTCGCTTAACCCACACGACTCCGCGCACTCTTCTGGCGATCCAAAATGCGACGGAAGCTCCGAGTAGGGCGGCGGTGCCATCACTTCCCCACCCCCACACCACCATCTCTCCATTTACCTCTATCTCATTTGCGTCTGGGTTGATTCGAGGCGGGTGGGGAAGCCTGCATGTTCTTGGATACACACTCGTGGCAGGTGCGGTGCATCGATCGATGCTCCACCTCCTCACACATTCGGTGCAGGCGTCCACCGCAGCCACCATGGCACACATGCCCCTGTGGTGCCCGCAGTTCAACATCCGGCTGTTTGCACAACTCTCCCATCGGCGCACGGCATGTTGCGTGTGGATAGGAGTCCCACGATGTTGTGTCTTTGGGTGTGGAGGAACGCGGGGTCTCCGCAAAAATTGAAATGATGGTCGCTATTGCCTGATGAAAACAGCCCAATAAATCGTTATTGAAGCTCCGACCGGTTTAGCGACCACATGGTCGCTAAACCGGGGTGCAGCGGTGTCACGAGATTTGGGCGTCGATAAAACAGGGCATGTTCCTAAACAGGGGGTCGCTAAACCGGGGTGCAGCGGTGTCACGAGATTTGGGCGTCGATAAAACAGGGCATGTTCCTAAACAGGGGGTCGCTAAACCGGGGCCCCCACTGTATTTGCTTACAGTACAGGTTGAGAGATTTGTCAAGAGCCACAGCAGAGTATAAGCTCACCCCTGCATAGGTTAGCGCCTTTTCACTCATCCGAGCGAAGATCTGGTAGGCCGCCAGCACAGCCAATCACGGCGCAAGTCTTATCACCGTGTGTGTCGTCCCCCTTGGACCTCTGGTGTTGCCTTATGCAGGTTAGCCTACTGAACGCTTTTTCTGCAACAAACACAAGCAAGAGGGCATAGTGTCGGCGAAGAACCGAGCCTGTCAACACGATGGGTGTGTCACCGTATGTACGGGGACACACGATCGCAGCGGAAGACTCACTGCGGTAAGCATAGACTGGAGGGGATGATAGGCCTTCAACATCCTCGTTGCAGCTTTCGTGGATGCATGGTGCAGCCCAAATTCGGCTGAATTTCCACCAGAAAGAGACTTTTCTGTGACAAGCACAGGGCACCAGACATGGTCAATATTGACAAAACGCGAGAAAGGCGGAGGTAAGGAGCAAGGGCGATCTGTCGTCTTCTTTCCGTCTCTTCGTCTCATCTCGAGCGAACGCCAAATCCATACGAGCGAGTACGAGCGCGGGGTGTTGGCCAAGGGGGGGTGTAAATAGGCGGCCGTGGCTACTCTCGGGCTCCAGATTATTTCAGGATTTGTACTGTATTGTGGAAGATGACGCACGATAGAGAGGTCACGGAACTGGGGCACCGTGCCTGGTTTCAGGTCTGGAGTGATACATTCTCTAGCCCTCCGACATGAACTGCGAGTCCCCTCTCTTCACACAGTTGCAGAGTATTGTCCTAGGTCGTTTTTCTCCGCGGGCCAAGATGTGCCCGCAGGAAACCACCCCGCTGGGTGACCATGCTATGCGCAGCTGGATTCGATTGCGACTGAGATGGAGTGGCAGAGAGGTGATGCAAATAATTGAGCTTTGAAAATTGGTGCCTTGATTATACACCTCAGGCTACTATCGTGCAGGGCTGCAGATATTTGTTTGTTTCCTTCCCCTTGTCAACTCGTCATTGTTTGACACGCGAGGACCGCGAATTGTTGTCCACCCAAAGGCGACGTAGTATGCCTTGGTAACGTTTTCCGTTACCCACCTTCGAAGCAACAGGGGTGAGCGGACGGGAAATGACACCACGCCTCTACCCCGCGGCGCGCCCGCGTATACTCCTCAAACAAAAGAAACGCCCAAGGACCATCAGCGCCGTCAACTGAGGGAGCGGTGGTGGAATCGGTGACAGTCCGACACGGAAGAGGAT